GAAGACAGCTGGCAAACAAATCGTTGTGTATCACTCAGAATAGACTGTTCTGCCTTGCTCTGTTGGCACAGTTGCGACATGTCCAATTTTCCCGAAAAATCAGGCGACCATCTGTTTGGAAGTGCTTCGTGCGCGAACAACTTTTGTTGGATTTTGCTTATCTCGAAACACTCATACAGTCGACTGCTGTTTACTTTCGGGCTCATACGCGTAAATCTATGATTCATCACCTGTCACAATGTCATAGACGTGTTTCGAAGCACCGCGATCGTATTTTTTGAGCATTTCTTTCGACCAATCGACACGTGTCTTTTTTGAGCGATTGACAAATTGTGTGGGATCCAACGCGAACAATCTGTTTTGACAGTCAAAAATGCAATGAATGCAATATTGAATTTTGCTGGTCCCACTAATGCCTAAGGTTGTCTCAATCTCACGATAGGTCACATGACGATCATGCAATATCAGTTCACGCACAGCATCAATGGTTTTCGGAACAACAACTGATTTTGGACGACCTTCGCGAAATTCGTCGTGGAGTGAACTACGACCACGATTGAATTCTCTATACCATCGATGAACACTGGTCCTTGATGGAACTTCATCGCCAAAAATTGAATTAAGTTCATCTATGCACTGTTGCTGAGTTAATCCACGTCGAAAGTTGTAAAAAAAATAATCGCACGAAAATGTTCACGATTTAATTCCATTTTTGGGTCAAGGTGAATAATTTAAGTTACTGTAAAAAACACAAATAGCGCTCGTATGTCAAAACGTTCTGAGTACGTATAACCTCAAAACATCCAACTTTACGATAGAGCTGTCAGTTGCCAGACTGCCACACCAGGGTTGCCAAATCCCGAAACATAAAAGGTAACCTTCGCAGAAATACTGTGAAACAAACAGCATTTTGATAGAAGAACGGAAGGGATGTCCATGGAACCTTGGGCTGCACACAGCAACTTACCATCGACGCTATAATACTGAAGGAGTTGCAAACTGAGAAGCGAAATCTACATGTATGCTATATAGATTACCCCAAGTCATACGATTCAGTCCCTCACGACTGGCTATTGAAAGCTCTTGAAATTTACAAAATATCTCCGGGAATTATTAAATGCTTGAAGGCAATGATGCTGACGTGGAGAACAAAACTTCATATTGAAAATAGAAAAATTGCATCCATTAACATTAGAAGATGAATATTCCAAGGAGATTCCCTCTCGTCAATATGGTTTTGATTAGCTATCAACCCATTATCTGCACTATTGCAAGTAAGTTGGGGTGCAAAATAAAATATGACAAAAAGATTACCCAACTTCTTTTTTATGGATTATCTGAAACTCTATGCTGGAACCACGAAACAACTTCAATCTTTGTTCAACACTGCAGCTACCTTTAGTAAAGATATTAACATGTCATTTGGAATAGACAAAGGCTCTATTCTCAATGTGCGGAAACAAGAAACTGTACAACCCAACCAACATACCAAGGTATTGAAGAATTGGAACCGCGTGCTATGTGTAAATATCTTGGAATATGGCAGAACTCCACGATTGAGCACACACAGCTAAAGAAAAAAATCACGGAAAAGTACCGGAGTAGAGTAACTAAAGTTCTTAACACAAAATTATCAGGTAAGAACATTATAACATCCATCAACATCTGGGCCGTACCAAATGAACCTACTCTTTCGGAATAATTGAGTAGTCTGACTCTCATTTAAATTTGTTAGACTGAATAACAAGACGACTGTTCACTAAATTCCGATGTCTGCAACTCGCAACAGACACTCTTCCACAGACAGACTTTATTTACTCAGAAAAGGAGGAGGAAGAGGCCTAATTTCTGAATCGGTATTAGAAATTTTACACTCTCAAGCGGACTGAGAGGCTGCCCTGGAGAATTTTCCCTTTCCATTGCCAGTGATGACGAGTGAAAACGAGTTATGGTTTCCAACATCTTTCTTATCCTTTGTGAGTAAATCACTTGGCTTCATTCATATCACAATTATTTCTCTCAGGGAACTAGTTTTCAAACTTCTAGCACGTGTGCCGCAGGGTAAGGTTTCATATTTTTCTGAGATTTTTGATATGTTTTGTTTATCCACCTATAAGAGCGTGTGTTAATTGCTTCGCTTTGTACAGACCTAATTTTGGAATAGATGCGAGAATAATTACTTTCCTAGAGCCTATAATTAGCCTTAAATTTTGACCGTGGTTTCATATTTTTCAATTGATATTTACATGGAGTTTCTTGGAGGCACTGGTAGCTTTACACTAAAGCTAGCAGCGCCCACGATTTTGGGAAATCCAAAAGAGCCAAAATTCGGAAATAGCCTAAATTAAAATTTAATTAGCCTAAAATGTTTGATAAAGTGATTGAAATTGTTTTTCGGGCGCTGCTAGCTTTAAATGGCTGGGAAAATGGTCATAAATGTATGTGCTGCCAAACATTACCCTTCTTGGAATTGCATATATTTAATTTTTATATCAATTTCGATATTAATATATATGTGAGAGACTGCTCTCGATTTCCTCCGTTTTACTATCATTTGGAGATTATAAATTTCTGGTGAAAAATCAATTATTAAATTGTACATTTTAGTTAGCTAAAATATTTTTTTAAAAGAAGACACTGCTTTATAATATTGTTTATTAGATTAGATTAGATTTATTAATAATTCTGCAATTAAGTGTGAGAACTTGGTGGCAGAATAC